TTAAGAAAGTTATGATCGTTTAAAGTGAAACACTCAAAACGCTGAGAACTTTCCGGACAACCTAATAGTTTCAGTATTTAGGTGGAGCTACCCTACATCTGCCCCTCTTCCACTTTATTTAGGCACTCTGTCAAAACGCTATTGATAAGTCAATGAATCTGGCTTCAATATGGAGCCTATACATTGATCACTTGGAGAGCCTAACTTACGTACCTTTTGGTCGATATCGTATAGCTGGCCGACCATCGATCTGCAGCGTTACATTCGCCTCATTTCGATGAATCCTGTAGAAAAAAATCGAAGATAAATTACATAGGATTCTTCGAAATGACGTTAGTTGACTACTTACCGGATCGTGTGCTTCTTCCCATCGTTAACCTTATGGGCGAAATGGACCGAAATGGTGCTCTCGACTGCCGAGGTTGTACTTCACTTGTAAAAATCCTTCGTCCTGAAGGTCCTATTTATTTATTTAATTATTAGCTAACTGCATAGTTACTAGGAGGATACCCACCAGATACACTGTGAAGTAGTCTTGATCCACGGCACAGTCGACTGATAGCAACACCCCAGAAGGGCGAGTGCTACGGAAGGCGAATAGCATATAATCTCGTGAAGTGGACGGACGGTCGCTCAATGGATACTCAAAGTATATCATCGATGGAGCCGAGAACGAGGCGGTGGTGGCTGCTGAAGAGATAATTGGCCTGTCGAGACCACAAAAAAACTTTTAATAATAGTAATAATAGCACTACTACTAGCAACAATAAGCAATTACAATAGATATGAGTGAAATTTCAGGATCAAACTTAGGAGTTTCCGAGTTAGAGGTGCTCAGAGATTCCACACGATCCGAAGGAGCATGACTGTGATCAGTGAAAAAATGTGACCACTTACTCATGAAAGCCTTTTTTGGTTTTCTTCAGGTCCATACAACAGAAAAAACAGCGCTTCTTTCGCGGTTTTCCCCCATTCTCTCTGGTATAGGTCTCCTATGGCGTGGCTTTGATTCCAGTAGCCTTTTACTAGGCTTCAACGTAACCTGAGCCAGCAGCCATGAGGAACTCAATGAAGAGGTGGACCAGGGCATCGGCTGGGAAATCCGGATGCGCTGACGCAGCGAAAGTGGTATAGCTCGATATATTCTAAACTTTGGTCCAGTGGACAAACTGATTTTTTGTGGAGAAGCTGTATGTAGTACGTCGAGTCAACTGGCAAGGAATACTAGCCAGCTCGTATGCGTCGTCGTGCGATCTTGTGAATACTAACAACGTAACAACTTGTTTCCTCGTGGGGTCCTCGTGGTCCAATCCTCAGTTCGGCTGGCAACATCTTTTGGCCCACAGAAATCGGTCTAGTAGCAATTACAACTGTTGAGAGCGCTGATTCGATGACGTCCAGAACGAGTAGTGTTCAGAACGCTCCCTTTCCCGACTACATACCCACCTTCGGCTAAAAGGGGAGAATTATGAAATTTTTTGGAATCTATCAGTGTTCGGAATCGTTCCTTGACGGATTTCAGATCAGTCCGTACAGTAAACGTTTCCCCTCGATTAGAGATAGCGTAGCATGATGAAGAGAAGGCAGGTTGGGTTTGGTCCCCTTTACAGTAGGTAATTGTGGTTAGAGTTGCAGCACCGTGACGGGACGGTCCTTTCGTTAAAACACAGCCTGGGTTATGAGAACATTCATCCTCTAAAGCCATACTCGACGGTATCAAACTGTCAGTGGGAGTAAGAAGTTAATCATGGTTACTAGGCTGAAACCTCTCAACTGCTTCAAAATACTTTTCGCGGCGCGCCAGTTTGTCGACGGGGGGGGGGCATTCTGCTTTCCATAGATGTGCCAACCCATCTAGGTAGCCTTTTCTCGAGTTGACACGTTTTAGTATGGTGGCTAGACGATCTTACTCCAGCTTCACAAGCGTTCACAAGTATTACCAGAGTGAGGATTTGTAAACCGGAACTAGGAAAGCAATGGTAGAACGAAATGCCACCCCCCTCCCCGTCGACAAGCAGCGCGCTTTAATTTTTATCTGTGCCTAATATTTAGATTTACACGCACTAACTTGTGAACAAGATGGCTCCGCAAGCCATTCTATAAGTCAAATCGTATTCAAAAGCTATATTTCGATTTTGACTGGAAGCGAAACGCATGGCGCACAGGAAGGTGACTGACCAAGATGCTCCATGCATCTTATTTAATCCCGTAATCGTCGGTTAAACCGCGGCGCTGTTGGGCTTTGGAGGGCATTTGTACCTGTAGCGGGTTCCTTTTGTCAGTTCATGTTAACTAACACGTCTCACCGTGGCCCGTGAGCTTTTCACTCCTGTGAAGCTGTGAGATTGTTCGGACTAACTGCTTTGGTGGGATCTGACAGGCCCTTACAAGGTGGCGTGTGTCAGCTTAGCTGGGTAATATTCTGCGTCCCCACCAAGTCGAACTACGCCTGAGCTGCAAACAAGCGCGGCTCACTGCCTCCGTCTTTATCTGGCAAGAAAATCGGGTCTCGTAGAAGAGACTTCAAAAATGTCTTTCACAAGGTTCCCAGGATGTAAAGACCAATTAGACCGACTGTACTGAGAACGACTATACCCATAGAATATCACACAAAGGACATCGCACATTTTTTCCACGTCAATCTTCACGGTTACAAATTGTAATGTCAGAAAAACTTCCATGGAAAAAGAATTCCTCATGTTTTCTGTGTCCGTAAGAGCCATTAAGAAAGGAAGTACTTACGGTCCTGACATCGGTCACCAGCATGCGCTGTCAACGTGCAGTCACAACGGATTGAATTCCACTGCTGAATACATCGACCACGATTCGAACAGGCGGCTGGCGAGCATCGAGCAAGTGGCCCTAAAAGGAAATTTCGGCTTGATGAGAAAGTGTGACTTAGTGAGTAAGGAACGAACCGGCACAACCCCGGACGACGTCTTTCTTGACGTCGCAGTCATCGATGACGTCAATTGACCGTTCGTTGATCCGAAGTGAGGCCAAACAACCACGAAATCCACCACGAACTAACGGGGCTGAGGCTGGAGCTCCTCCTAAACTCACTTGCATATTGTAAAGCGTGCGTGAACGCAGAGGTTTTGCGAGGCAAAGTACCAGCTTTTTTACTGCTGCTATTCTCACTTTTACCCATCTCCAGCATTTCTTAGGAGAACTTACTGCCGTTTTTACAACACTTTGAGATCCCCCCTGCTTATCCATGGAATTTCTTGCTTGCCAAATGTGTGTGCTGTCAAAGCAAATTGTTGAGCTACTGTATGAACTCTTAACAGCTTACTGCGTGACAGCATACTATCTTTTTTCTGCTTCATAGAGAGAGGGAAAGCTCACCAAAGGGAGAACAACTCCCTATGGGCAGTAATCCCACAGTACCGACGGCTGGAGTCATAGCGCTCATTGTAAGATGAAGTAACAGAATCAAAAGGATGACCAGAAAAGGAGTTCGGGAGCAGTCGTCCCTTTCAGCTACTTCTTCGCGAAAATAATAAACATCTGTGGGAAAATTATAAGGCGCTCGAAAGTACAGACTATGCGAATGAAGGGACCAGTGGCCATCAAACTTCAGACTCAAGAAAGGCGGTGCAAAGCTATGAAAGCTGCTCGACGCTTGTTCGATCTACATTATGGAATGTGAAAAACGTTCACCTAAATCTTTTGGCCTTTATAGTTACCAGAGGGCAGTGAGGATGCTGCTTAGAACACGTATGATTTGTTAGCTTTCAAAAGGGGAAAAGGGTGTAAACAAGCCGAACAGAAACAGTTAGCAGCTTCGTGGTATAAGGCTGCGTTGCTGGTGACGCTAGGAGTGCTAGATCGATATCCATCCTCCCCCGCACTTAGCCGTCTGGCGCCCGCGGAAGCGCTACCGCTGCTCGCAAAGTGTAAACGCAGCAAGTCAAGGAGTTCAGAGCGCTACGTCCTAACCCGTCGCGGCATTGAGAGTACGCATAGAGAGAGAAGAGAGAGAGGAAGAAAGAAGAAAGAAGAGAGAGAGTCTGAATGAATGAATGGTCTGATGCGAAAGCACTGTAACATTCACAGCATGCTGCGCAGCTATTTTTGCTGGGCAGTCGCGCGCGGACGAGGCCTGACCAAACATATATCGCGGCGCCCGGCTGAGCTGTGTTTCATCCATCGAAATGGAAAGTAGGTGGAAAAAGAACGGTTTTTTTGTGAGTATCATTAGTTCCTAGGTCGGAGTTCGTCGACGAGGGGCATTATTGCACCTTTGCTACTTCGCCATCGACGGCCATCGAGAGCCATTCAACCGTGAGCTTAATGCGAGTTGGAAGGCTTCTACATGGTGGCTAGACGAGCTCGCTTTAGATGCACAAGAGTTCGTAGGTTTCACCAGAGTGCGACTTGTAAATCGGGAATAGTGTAGCAGCAAAAGTGCAAAATACCATCCCCCCTCGCCGACTGGTAGCCTATTTCCTTTCCTGCTGGATACTGCGAAGAACATGGCAAGCTCACCGATTGTGATGACACTCCCCAGTTCAGGCTGTATGTCAATGTCAGAGATGGCGGTTGTGTTATCCACCAGTAACATCTGAAGACGTGTTCGTTCTTCCTGAAAAAAAATTTAACCGTTGCAATTATTCAGCCTCAGCCGATAGCCTTCCCGTGCCAAGGACCGACCTGATAGAATAGCAAGGTGTGCCATCTCATGTCACTCAAGTGTTGCCGATTCGGCAATACAGGCGAGTCAATCTGCATCGATTCATCGCCTTCTTTATATGAGAATCTTATCCTGTAACAATCATTATTGGAGTCGAGTGCCTTTGAGAACAATTCCCGCGATCAAGTTTTACGGAAGGTGGGTGCTCAATCATGAACTGTTATAGTAGTCCATAAGTACCTCCTCAGTAGAGAAAGAAGCGATAGAAAAACCTTGGGAGCACTGTTGAGAGGCCCCCGGCAGTAGACGCTTTGGACGAGTAAGTCGGACGTCGGCAAGCCCAATCATCACGATTACGACGGCAACGATTCCCGGCAAGAGCACAGGAAATCACCCTACGACGCTCCAGGCAACGCTATGTACACACGCATTCCGCTTGTAAGCCGTTGTCTTGCAGAGTGAAAGTAATCGTGGTTGCAATGGTTGCAATAATCACGCTCTTTATCTCGCCGTTTCGAGGGATGAGGGATGGCATATTCTTTGCGAATGCGGACACCGATGCCGAATGCATGGAGCCGTTTCCCGTAGCACTTGATCGCGGGAATCGTCTTTAAGTGTGACAAGGTTTGTTTGCCCTCATGAGAAATTGGCCCCAAAAGGGAAATCGGAACCAACCTAGCGTTGACTAATTCAATGACGAGCGAGGTGTCCTTGTCGGCAGAATACGAGGCAAACAATAAGGCATTACCAATGAGAGTTTGAAATTTGAAAGACACTCGTAATGAACCCGTAAGTGATGAGGCCTAAATGTGAAATCGATTTAGGTCTCTCCACTTCTTCTGAGTTTCAGGAACGCTGCATTTTCCAGTTTACTAATGATACAAAAGCGAACTCACTACTCTATGTGACAGTACAGCATAACCAGTTGTGTTCACGAATGACGCTGATGAGGGTCGAGGTTTGCTGAAGACAGCAACGTGAATGAAGCTCATTTCGAATTATCAAAAAATATGGACATCTGCTCAAAGATGGTGTAATACTGGTAATGGGGTCGACCCTACAGTCACGCCTTTTGAAATAAAAAATGTGTTAGGAATTTTGCTATACCTTATAGTTCTGGGAGATCATTTAAATTCTCATTTCCTGGCCCTATAAATTATACCATTTTCACTTAATAATTTCACCACTTTGTCAAAACCAGTAATTCAACCAACTCTTGTTCAGATCGCAGTTCGCAGCCAGAGTTGATTGGCGATCTGTGTGCGAGCCGCCAGACGGTTCGCGCCTCTGTCAGGCGCGTACATAGATTTTCCAACACATTGCGACACATGGCAAGTCGACTCGCCATTCCTTAAAGGATTGGTGCGACTTCGAATTTCATGGGTTTTTTAACTTTTAAATTTCACATCCACTCTTTGCCCAACGAAGATACTCGTACCCGCGCATTTATGCACTGGAAATTTAGGCTACAAAATACAAAACTTTGACACTGATCTAAGCTGTTCCGGAGTGTACGGAGGAGACCCTAGCCATGAATGCTTAAGACTCCTATCCTGCGATTCAGCCCATTTTAAAAAGCCTGGCGAAAGCTTTTTTGAGAGTGGCGCGGAAGCCTCCACACATTGGGCGGGATGTCACGTTAGCAGCCACCAAAAATGCAAAGATTAAAAAATGGTGGCAAAATTCCGCAAAAGAAAGAGTGGGGTGGCCAAGGAGCGATCCTATAATTTCTCGAGATGCATAGATGCGCGGGCACGTTGCTATCTTCGTGGCAATGATGATGTGAAATTAATAAAGTGAATAAAGTTACGAAATTTCGAGTTTGCGCAACAAACTCTTCGAGAATGGCGACGGTCAGACGAATGGTCTCGAATGTCTTAGAAGAATGGGCGGAGTCGGCCATGTGTCGATGTGTTGAAAATCTATGTCCGCGCTGACAAGTAGGCGTGACCGTCGGGGCGGGGCTCGCAGTGGTGTCTGGCGTGATCTGGTTGGTGAACTGCCCGGTCTAAAAAGAGTGGTGAATTTGATTTGAAAAGTGGTGAATTTGGTTTGAAAAGTGGTGAATTTGGTTTGAAAAGTGGTGAATTTGGTTTGAAAAGTGGTGAATTTGGTTTGAAAAGTGGTGAATTTGGTTTGAAAAGGTGGTGAATTTAAAGTGAAAATGGTACAAATCGAGTGATGATTTTCACCGATAGGTATATCCAATGCTGACTCGAAGTGCACCAGCCCTTTTCGGCTGAGGTTTTGAAAGCCTCAAAACTTCAGAATTTGGGTTCTGTCGTTAAGTCCTGTAGCGGGAGATAGATATTAATCACTGCTTCATTCATGTCTTTCCTTATCATTTATTTCTGCTCTCATACGCCATGTAGTTGAGTAAATCTTACATGTTTCTCAGTCCCTTGCCTTCCTTATTCATTTTCCCTTCTCGTTTCGCACGTTCCAACAAATCGATGCCATTGAACATCTGAAATTAATACTACACGATTACTTCTACTGTTTCTTCAAGTGACGACGAAATGTTGGCGCAGTTCGGAGGGGGGGGGGGACAAAGTACGCCAACGTTGTGTTGATCACAACGGGAAATCGTATTCGACAAGGGAGGGGAGGGGTCGTATTTGGTCTGAGAAAAATTTTTTTGATAGTTGATTTCTCTTGTTTCACGGACGCTATAAAGGGAGGGGGTCGTATTTGGTCGTTGTTGGGAGAGGGACTGCCAAAGATCTATACAACTACTATTTCCGATAGTTGAAAATGATAGTTAAATCCTGACCCCCCCCCCCCCCGCTCGACAGCAAAATTTTGGGGAAAAACCAGAAATTTTTCGGAAAATTTCGGAAAAACTGGTAGATTAGGGGATCTGAGAAATTTTCCTGTTTCATATCGGGTATATTCCCCCCACCCCACCCCTCCCCCGCTTGAGGGAAAATTCTTGGTTGAAAAACTGAA